CGATCCCTTAGTGAGGCTGGGAATTTAGTTTTAGACAAATGGAAAAAAGACAAATGGAATTTACATTTTGAATTATGGATTTGCATACTAAATAATTTGACATTTTTAATGACTTAAATTCATTCTGCTATTAATACTTGAAATATATCACTTACTAATATTCAATAAACGGTATAAAATGGTACATGATTAAATATTTTTTTTTCAAATTTTTACAACTAAAATATTCTAAAAAAACACTTTTTGAGCATCTGTTTTATTATGCATTAATTTTGGAAAAGAACTGAATTTTAATTAATAGCATTTATGCAGTTGGACATTTCAGTACTAACAGTCTACAATAAAATAAAATTATTTTTAATTAAACCAGTTATATTCTAATTTGCTGAAAGTTTCCTCCTTAAATAGTATACTATCAAGCAGATTTTGAACAATTATGTAAAATTAAAATTTCATTATGCCTATAGAGCATAATTTTAACAGTTCCACTGAACTTTAATTTTTAATCATTTCTATAGCTTTATGCATTTAGTTTTTTAATTATTCCCTGTATGGAAGAAAGTTCAAAGATATAGCTATATTTGATAATATATACGAAAACAAATTTAAAATTATTAGGACATTTAACAGTAAAAAAAAAAAAAAGACAGACTGGTTAAATTTTAAATTCTCCAAGAAAATAAATTAAATAGTTGAAATATTTTTTTGATATAACATTAATATAATGATACAATAGAAATAATTATTGTAAGTAATTAGTAAAGACACATAGTTTTGCAGTGTAATTTAAAACTCAAACCAAAATTTTATAAAAAAGAAAGTAATATCCTATAATATAAAGAATGGCATTTTCTTCAACGAAGGTTTACACACTTCTCAGTAGTCTCAATCCGGAACAACTGTAATATGAAATTTTCCCTCAGTGATGAAAAGCATCTTGAAGTCTGGTCACTAATCCCTACACTTCCCTTCTTTTTGCGACATACATGCAATCTTCTGAGAATCCATTAAACTACACACAAGAATCTTTGTTGCAAATAGGAGGTGATTTCTTAAAGGGGGAAAGCATTCGGTTCAAGATTCCCTGTCCTTTCAAGGAGTCCTGCTACCAAAACCACGGCCTCAAAAAGGTTAAAAATGCAATAAAATGATAATCAGACTTTAAAATGCTAATCAGTTAGCATAAAATATTGAACAAGCATTACTCTGCTGTTTTTCTAAGTCGAGCATATTTCACTGATTTCTTTATATAGAGGATTTTTTGGATTAAAAGTTGCGCATATCAGAAAAAAATCTAAACTATTAGCCAAAACATGAACATTTCTTTATTTTCTTCACATAAATAAATAAATTAAATTAAATAATAATAAATAAAAAAAAAGTTAATTAAATTTGTATCTTCAAATCTTTGAATAACATTTACATTTAGATATTTTGGCTAATCTTTGGAATATGGTAACAGGTAGTTTGGCGACATTTTGGTAAGGCGATAAAGGTTACTAGGTAGGACTTTAGCAATAATCTGAGAAGTACACAGTTCAGATCACAGATTATTTTGTCTCAGAGAGATGAGAGATCGTGAGACATGTTATGTGATATTTTCCGGAAAATTCTGATCGTGATTTTAGCTAATAAGCACTTAGAAAAAATTTCGCTGCTAAAGTGCAGAATTGCCCACTTATTTGTTTGGCGCTTTTTACAAGAGTAAGAAGAATTGGATTTTTGTCAACTTTCTTTGACTTTTTATTTTTTAAGTGAAAATAGGTCGATGTGTACATGGATAAAGTCAAGAGTTTCGCAATACCATTTTTGTGCAATTCTGGGATTTGTTTTTAAGTGAAAATAAGTTAACGTGTACATGGATAACCGCGTATGTGCAATTCTTAAAAAACGCGTGTGAAGCAGTGGGCGATTCTGCACTCTCCTCCCAATTTGCACCTAATCTTCGTCATGATTAAGCAGCACTTTTGTTCCATAAAGTTCTAGCATAAGGTGAATTCGGCTAGCAGATGTTGGAAAAAAAAAACGCTGAGTAAAAAAAAAAAAAAAAAAAAAAAAAAAAAAAAAAACCATAAACATGCCTTTACTTTGTAAAAACGAAATGGCGTCCCCCCCCCAAAAAAAACCAGCAGGTTGCTGTTGCAGGGTTGGTAGCCAAAAAATTGCTAAGTTACCATAATCCGAAGATTCACCTAGATTTTTTTTGGCATGTTACTCATGTTCATGTTTAATAGCAATGAATGTAAAATAAACTGAAACTTCAAATAAGTAAAACAAAGAAATCTTTGCATCATTGTATTTGCAACAAATGCATAACTGAAATACATTCACCGACCACATCAAATTGCTTCGGAGGCCGCCAGTTTAAAACTACTGTTATAGACAATGTTCAAATCAGTGCTTAAATTGCGCCGGAGCCCACCGGAGCACAGCTCCGGTACTTCTCAATTTTTAAGATAAATTACAATTCCAGCTGGAACGCACCGGAGCCCTGAATAAGATGAGCTCCAGTACTTCTTTTTATAAAACTGAACCACAATTTAAAGGGGGAAAAATCTAGAATTCCTACCATTTTAGTTTAACAATAAGCAGACCTTGCAATACTCTATTTCCCTAGAAATACAAACTCATGAGTACATGACACGTTCAAGTAAAGTCCCCTCACTCACATGCGGAAATCTTTCCCTTTAAGAAGTTTGTTTAGGAACGCGTAAATTTCTCGCCATGCCATTACATCTAGTGTATTGTTATCGATACTTACAGTTAGTTTCCCTCACAGGAAGAAGAATTTGTGTTCTTAAATGTGCGTTAAGTGACAGCGAGTACAATAAGAGTGAAATACTGAGATAAACTGCTCAAGCACGTCCTATACATCGTCTTTCCACAGTATCCACTAATGGGGGGAAGCGTAACCAGCAACTTTACATTACATAGTCGGGATTTACCCCCGACACACATCTGCTTGATGGCTATAATTATATCAGCACAGAGACGTGGTCAAAGAGAACGTTCTCTCTCACCAAGATTCCCCTCTTTTCTTGTTTCCACCCACTCATACCCTTATTCTGTTTCGTCCTGGAATTTTTATCAGCTATACTTTAAGTATATTTAATTTTTGTGATGATAAAAGAATTTCCCTTCCCCCCTACGATCAGAGCTTAAATTGGGCTGTAGCCCACAAGCTCTCGGCTCCGGTGCTTCTTAGTTTTTGTAATAAATCCTAATTCTAGCCGGAACGCTCCAGAGCTCTGAATAAGAAGACTGCTGCACTACTTTTACGTAATTGAATAACAATTTCACTAAAAATTTTGGCTAATCTTTGGAATATGGTAACACGTAGTTTGGCGACATTTTGGTAAGGCGATAAAGGTTACTAGCTAGGACTTTAGCAGCATACATGGATAAAGTCAAGAGTGTGCGCAATGCCATTTTTGTGCATTCTGATTTTTTTTTTAAGAAAAATACGTGTACAATACCGTGTATGTCAATTCACATGGCAAGCAGTTTGGATTTTCTTCTCCCATTTTGCCACCTAATTTTCCGTCAGATTAAGCACTTTTGTTCCAAAAAGTCTCGCATAAGCTAATCGGCTAGCAGATTGTTGGAAAAAAATGTGAGTAAAAAAAAAAAAAACATGCCTTTAACTTCGTGAAACCAAATGGCGTGCAAACAAAAACTAGCAGGTTCTGTAGCGGGTTGGTCGCCAATTTTCGCCAAAAAATCGCCTAGTTGCCAATCCAAGATAAAAAATTTTTATCTCGAAAATTTTTATTTTAACAATAAAATATATTAAAATCATTATAATTCCAATTTATCTCTTTACATTTTATTAATTACTTCAATCTTTAATTTTTCAACAAATAATAATTATCTAATAATTATCATTAAATTATAATAGTTATCTAATACTTATTATTAAATAACTTATTACATTAATTAAATAGCTATTATTAATTTGATAATAATTAGCTATTTAATTTTAAAAATTATTAGATTTTAAAGTCATTTTATTATTTATTTACTCTTTGTTCCTCTTTGCTGACGGTCTTCCATAGGGCTCCGGCACTTCTAATCTTAGAAATTAAGCGCTGGTTCAAATTGCACAAAAATAATATTTTAGGATTTAACTTTTCATAGAATAAATACAGAAAAATTCAAATAACCTATCCTTTCATTTGGATCGGTCTCTTTCTGAAATTTAAACAATTGCATAATACTGTGAAAAGCTATAGAAGCACTTGTTACAAATCTTGTTTCCTTGCAGTTATGCAATTCAGGATTACATTTCTTTGGTAACCTACATGAAAATTATTTTCATATTTAAACAAGAAAAAAAGAAAAATAACCCTCTTGACCTTATTAATCGAAATTTTGTGCACAAAAGAATCCAGAATGTAAAATATACACCTGACTGGATGATTGAATAGCCTGGAATACATTTCGAGGATGCAATATTATTGTTTACATATTTTATTTTTTTAAACTTTCATCTTTAACTATGTGATATATATCGCATTTTCATGATCATTACTGCACTTATATAAAGAACATGTTTTCAAACATATAACCATTATTACAGATAATTGTTCAAATTAATGGTTTGAATTAAAAACGAGAAATACTAAGATGACTAATATAAAATACTAAGATAAAAAAGTACATAGATTTACTTAATCACAACAATAATTAATCATTTATAATGCGTTCTATGTGTATGGTTTACCATCTCAATGCAAACGCTACACTTTGCCTTACACGATTTTCGCCCAGCAGAGCTTTTCCCCCTGATTTTGGGCTGAGGAAGGAATTTTAAGAAAGCGCCTTTCGATGGCATTTCCATTCTTGGTGTAAAAACATTCCTCCGGAGGATATGGCGATTTCTTGCTATTCAAGATGGCGAAAAAAATTCCACCAAGTGCCACTTATCTGAGTTTTCCCATAAACTTTTTGCCAGGTAAAAGTTTAAGAGATACATAATAAACTTAAACTTGGTTACTTACTCAGACACATTTCCTTTGAATACTGCCCAAAGTTCAGCTCCTGGAGGACCACTTCTTGCAGGATAACCCCATTTCTCATATCGCCAAAGACCTTGAGTTAAACTAAAGTGCAGTTCTTGTACATTATACTTTGATACTATTTCGCCCAGTGAACGAGGAAAAAGTCGAAAATGTTGAACTTAAAAAGAGATATAAAAGCATTCATATAAATATAAAAAGAAAGAGAAATCTCTTAATATATAATTATTAACATTCTTACTAAAACATCTACCATTCCCTCAGCTGAATAAAATGAACAAGTTTAGTAATTAATGGCAATATACTTTAAAAACTATATAAATGATGTTTTGTGAGGTAAATGAAATTTTATCTCACAAATTTAAACTCAATTAACGTATTTAAAACATTTTTATAATTATAAATAGTTACAATTCCTATGCAGAAATGTTTTATAATGTAAAAATTAAATATAATTACATGCAATGTTTCCAAAATCCATTTCATACTTTGGTGAATCAAACATATCAGTTCCCCCCCCTTCGATCAATCAGATGCTTATATGGCATTATAAATTTCTACAGTAAATTTTAAATTTACATATTTATAGGAAATAAGAAGGGCATCAAATACTTTATGTAAAAAAAAAAAAAAAGTCAAACTGCACAATACTGACAGTAAATCTCACCAATACACAGTGAATGAAAATATTAGCTATCATAACAATTTTAGTTAATTATCTTTACATAAACATAAGTTTATACTTTTAAAACGTTTCTGATCATATGCATTTTTTTATCCCTTGTCCAAATTCTTCTTCCAAGCAAAAGAACGGCAAGCTGGTTAACATCAAATTGGGAGCCAGCAGACTTCACGACATTCTACTAAGAATACAACATCAAGAAATTGAAATAGCCATGACAATGAAATACAACACAACTAAGACATCAAACAAGGTCCTCATCCTTTATATCATAATACAAACAGCAATACTAAACAACTGTCTAATTTGAGGTCATGCAGCCAAAACTCACTTAAAATTATATAAATACTTCAAAATAAAACCATCAGAGAAATAAC